TTGCAGTTGTCGCTGTTTAGCAGGCCCGGGTTGTTGTTCAAACCCTCCTGCCTTGGTGTATGTGGCCAGTGCCCTAACCTGAACTTATAGGTGCCGAGCCTAGAGATGGGGCCTTGCTGTGTTGCTCAGGCTGGTCTCGAATTCCTGGCCTCAAGGGATTCTCTCACCTTGGTCTCCCAGTGCTAGGATTACAGGCGTGAGCCACCATGCCAAGCCTTGAAGGGGCTCTGAAACCCTACTGAATGTGTTCCAGTGGCAAACCATGGCTATTCTTCTCTGAGACATCTGCCTTACCATTTGGCAGACAATACTAGAATTGTGTGGGCATCTTGTTAGTCATCTTTCTTATAAATGCCAGACTATACTCAATGACTTTGCTTTTACCAATTCCAGCAGCCTTTGATATTGAACACGGAGTATATATGACAACTGGAAACTACAAAAAGGGGGTGGTACAAGCTGTGGTTTTTGCAATTATTCAGTCAGCTACAAAGCATCCAATCCTAAAGTCCTTTATCCCACTGTCAGTCCTGCTGCTGTGAACTCAAGCCACATACCATTAGTCAGGGATCCAGGAGATGGCTTTCTTTCTTCATCATCTTCTTCTTCTTCTTTTTTTTTTAATAAAAAAAGTTAAGGTCGGGTGGTGCCTGTGGCTCAAAGGAGTAAGGCGCTAGCCTCATATGCTAGAAGTGGTGGGTTCAAACCCAGCCCTGGCTAAAAAAACAAAACAAAACAAAACAAAAAATTAAGGTCTTGCTCTATTGCCAGGGCTAGAGTGCAGTGGTATGATAGCTCACTGCAACCTCAAACTCGTGGGTTCAAGCAATTTTCCTGCCTCAGTTTCCTGAATAGCTGGGACTATAGGTAGGCATCACCATAGCTCCTCCCACCTCAGCCTCCCAAAGTGGCTCTGGTTACAGAGCCACTGAGCCCAGCCCACTTAAGCCCCTTTTTTGTAGATCAACAATCTTTCAAATATTGTAGAAAACTATTAAGTCTTACAAATTCCTTCTTCTAGTTTTTTTCCTCTGGACATGTTCTACTTGTCATATCTTTAAATCATGAATCAAGGATAAGAAGAAATACAGGTATAGTCCTAACTCTGTATCAGGACAAGAGGTCAGACGAGACTTTCTCATGGGAATTCCC